CTGCTGGAGTTGAACAGAAATGAACGAAAATAAAACCAAAAACCAAAACCCCGTAAACAATTATGCTGAGCCCTGTTTGAGTCTTTCCCTCCTATTAATAGTAGCTCTGCCTTTACTGAGGCTTCTGGTGAAATTGCTTTGCATTAGTTTAGAGAATATCTTTCCTTCTGACCACACAGATCATCACTCAAAAGACCCATTGTTAGGGTTTGTCCATACACAGAAAGGATTGTGGGAGGAGCAGATGGAGGTGGCCTCAGGGACAGTACATCTCAGGACAGCTCAAGGTGAACAGCTTGGGGAAGAACACCCTGGAGGTCTTTGGTCACCATTGACCCTTTGGAGAGACCCCATGGCATGTTGGCCATGAGGATATGAAGCAAATGTCAGGAGGACTCAGTTTTAGCTCACTTTGCTTCTCTCTTTATGGGACTTTGAGCAAGTCATGTGACTTTTACCAGCCTTAATTTCCCATCATTTAATGTAGGGATTATTTTAGATGACCTGGAAGACATCTCCCAACACTAAGTGTCCAGTCAGTATGCTCAAACTCTGTATTAATCAGATAGAGGGAGTTATGATGTGCTACCCAAACCCCCAAAGCCTCTCTGCTTTTGTAACAATCCATATCTCTCCAGAATAATTGTTGCCTGTGGTCACACTCTTCCAGCCTGCCACAGGCTCCTCCTACATATGATTTGTCATACAGAACATGTGATTTCATTAGTGACATGTAAGAGAAAGGGCGGCTAAAAGGATCACATGTTGGCTTTTCGATGACTCTATTCAGGAGTGGTACACCATTTCTACTCTTCCTATTATCTAGAAACCATGGTAGGAAGGAAGGAGGGATGGAAGAAGGGATGGAAAGAAGACTCATGTTCTCAGAAGAGGGAAGAAGTGAATGCCGGTAAATTCTCACCATGTCTGTGCAGTAGACATTAATGATTCTCCATCGGTGAAAAAAATGACTTTATTTTTCCAAATACAGAGTTCTGACACTGTTTTGAGGGTAGAGAAGATTGGTACCATTTTCATTTTACCAGTGAGGAAATGTGTTCAGAGAAGTTGACCAACGTATACAATGTCACAGAGCCACCTAATGTCTAGGGCAGGGATTAGATTCTGTGTCTCTTGATCTCTGCTTTCTACTGACTAAAAGAATTGCAGGTTTGCCTATCAGAAGACCTGCATCTGCCATTCATTAAACTGACAGCATGGGATCTCCTTGAATCTTGTCCCAGTTATCTTTCTATTGCTATTATAAAAACATCATGATCAAAAGCAACTTGATGGGGGGGGGGGGGAAAGGGGTGAATTTTATCTTATAGCTTGTAGTTCATCATCCAGAGAAGTCAGGGTAGAAACTCAAGGCAGGAATCTGGAGGCAGGAACTGATGCAGAGACCATGGAGGGCTGCTGTTTACAACCTTACTTCTCGTGGCTTGCTCAGCTTGCTTTCTTAGAGCGTGCAGGATCACCAGCCCAGAAGTGGCACTCCCACAGTGACCTGGGCCCTTCCACATTATCAATTAAGAAAATGTACCACAGGCTTCCCCAGAGGCCCATCTGGGGGCATTTTCTCAATCGAGATTCTCTCTTCTAAAAGGACTCCAGCATGTGTCAATTTAACATAAAATTTGCCAACACAAGCCTCTTACGTGAGACGGCTCAATTGTTAAGGACACCTTCCCCAAAGCCTAACAACCTGTGTTCGATCCTTGGTACCCATGCAATGGAAGGAGAGAATTACTCCAAAGGTTGTCCTCTGACCTATGCGTGCTTGCATGCTCGCATGGGCATACACACACACACACACACACACACACACACACACACACACACACACACACACACACACATTGTGGCGTGTGTATCCCCCAACACATATAAAATAACTAAAATGAAAAATATATAGACCTAGATCACAGTTTCCTTGGGAAGACTGACAAATACAATCAAAGTGAAAGTGCCCACCACAGAGCAAAGAGTGCACAAACACTACATCCACTCTGTCCATTTAACCACACCACAGTGTGAGCAGATGTTCAAAGACATAAACCACGTATTTCTCTACCCTAGAACCAGAGCCTCCTGTATATTGAAATTCCTTTTCAGTTTTCTAAATTAACCAAAAGCAGAGTTGATTACATTAGAATTCATCTATATAGAAACTATGACCTCCTGGGAGGTCAGGCAAGGGGTTACATTTTCCCAGCACCTGATACAGTGCCTCGAACTGCACAGAGCTCAGGATGCGGTGTTCTGTAGACCAGATCAAGAGTGTACATGCCATAGCATACATGCTGAAGAGGCGTCGGGAATGTCACATCATGCATTGTAGTTACGATCACCTTTGCTTTTTTTTGGGGGGGGGGGTGATGACAAGAAGCAAGAGAGGAAAAGAGAGAAGAGGGAAAGAATGAGGGAAGAGGGGTAGAGGGAAGGGGAGGAAATGGGAGAAACAGGGCTAGGAAAGACTAAACAGTGACTGAAAATCAACGACAGGAAGAGGGGCAAGGTTGTTCATGGGAAGGATCGTTTCATCACATTTCACAGCAAAATAAGAAAATACTCGGGGATGAGAGAGAGCAAGATTTCAGCCCCATGATCGCCAGGAATACACAGACAGTGCAAGAAGAAAATAGCGGAGGAAAAGGGGGGAACACAGTCCCTGCCCCCCTTCTTGGGCCTGCAGTGGGCGGGCTCAAGTTCTCCTGAGGCAAAGGCCAAGCTTCAACTTCAAAAGCCAACTAGAATGATCCAGGACCAGTGGGCCACAGGCTCCTTCAGTCAAGTGACCTTGGCTGCTTGTTTCCATGGTAACGATGCACATCCCAAACTGTTCCTTCCTGTGTAGGAGGCAACACTGTAGAGCGAGGGGAAGGCCGGCCCTGACACTGGCTTTTCTCTCTTCTGACCCTTCTCCTTTGGCAAATCGTGCCGTTCTTCTGAGTATTACAGTCTCCTGAGAAAAGCGTCCCCAGAAGAGGATGTTTCTGTGACACTATTTGCAGATGCGTGCCCGCCCAGCACACAGTTTTAAAGGAAGATGGAAGTTGCGCTGGCTTTGGTTTCACACGCGCTGGGTGTTCCCCCAGCAGCTCACTATTCCTTTCATGATTAGTTCGCCAAAGAGGAGGCCCAGGGTGTTGTCCCCATGTTGAAAGAGAGAAGTCAGCGAGGTTGGAGAGCTTCCCCAACGCTCCTGAGCATGCAGTAGCAGAGTTGAGCTAGAAAGTAGGCATAACAAATCTGGGTGTCTAGCAGCCCCCTCAACACATGGTCCTCTTGTGGTCCAGCCCTAGCCTGAACCACTGCCCATCACCGCCCTGCAGCTGCTTGAATATCTGTCTGCCCCAGCCTCAGCCTCAGCTTCCACACTGTATCCTGCAGTTTTCTTCAGCGCTGAGTCCTGACTTTATAGAGTATAGAACAAAAGTATGTTATGTCTAAATATGGAGTTTAAAATGCATTATAAGATCAATATTCGGCCTGTCCTACAACATCTGGGGTTAGAGCAGCATTTTACAGGATGATACATAATCTTTCTTCAAGTGAACCATGGAAGAGGATGTCTTACCACAAACCCTCCAATCACAACTCCAAAGGCACCATAGGGTCCACTTTCCAAGCCGGATCTGGAGCCAAAAGCACTCAACCCTTGGCTCAACTTCAGCCCTTCCTGGTAGTTTTGATCCCATGATTCCATTCCTGAAAGAAACCTCTTCTTCTGCAGTATCTCTGTGTGACTCTGCCATACGAAAGTGTAATTAGAACAGCATGGCGCCAGCAAGATGGTCCATTTACCTCATCCTGCACCATTCACGTGCTTTTGAAATATGTTTCTAATATCTGAGGTGCATGGGGCCAAATTCCCTTCACGTTTTTTCACATGCATGAGTAAATCCACACAGATTAAACCCCTTGGGCCTTAGGTTCTGCTTAGAAGTTTTTTTTTTCTTTTAAAGAAAACAAATATTCCATTAAAACGACACAGTGTACTCTGCATATTTTTAGGACAATTACAGTTTAGAATTCCCTCTTCTTCCGCCCATCGCAACAAAAAAGTTTTCTTAACTATTTCCTTACCAAGAATGAATAGAAACGGAGGTGAAGGATTTTTCTATCTTTAACATTACTCTTTTCATGTCGCTTATCAATGATACCAGATGGTGGATTGAGGCCATTGCTGTGTTATTCCAGAAGGATCCAGACTCCTCTGCTCCATTACCAGATCAATCCTTTTTAGGTAACTATTTGCAAACCTATGGAAACATTTCCTTAAAACAGAAAAAAAAAAGTGAAACTCACAAGAAACACACACACGTAAAAGGAAGGAGATTTCCCCCTTGTCTTCTTGGTTTGAAATTGGATCATAGGTTTTGGTCATTTTTCTGTAGCACTTCTGACTATGAAAATAAACTAATAAAGGTGAAGCTGCCCAGGCTGGCCATGTCTCAGCCTGTGAGACAGAGATACAGCAAGACTAAGAGGGAGAGACCTAGAAGTCATTCTTACTGTGGAGGAGTTGAAACGGAACACCAGCTGTGGACTTTGCGTTTGATTGCGTTCATAAGTCTGTTCATGTGGCAACTCCCTGCCCATTAAGCCTGCACTGCTGGGGCCACACATGTGGATGACGTGGGCCAAGTCAGTGTGCAAATCAAACGTTCGCTTGCAACCAAATTTGGACAGACATCTTAGCTGCACTTGCCAAGCCACTCACATTCAAGTCCAAAAGCTCCTGGGCCTTTTCAGAAGGTGATGTAAGACCATCCTTGGCTTCTTTTCCAATTCCTACAAAGTGGATCAAAGGTTAAAATGATACTACATGCTCACCCTGTGGCAAAAGACATGCCTGACCCCAGAATGAGTAGAATCCAGTAACAGCTTGCAATAGCATAGAAACTTGGAATTATATAAATACACACACACACACACACACACACACACACACACACACACATATTATAGGATCAAAGAAATAAGACTTCTCAGGGAAAATGTGTTTATTTAAATTAAAAAATATTGTGAAAATTACAAACCATTAAATACAAAAGACAATTGTCTACAACTCAATGTACTGAAAGGAAGTATATACATCACTTTGTAACAGGCGCAGACAGACTTGCACCAAACCAGGATTAAGCAATGGAAAATGTGACCATGCACATGTCTGTCGCAGTAAAGTTTCAGAATTCAAGTGATTCCAGGCAAGAGGCCAAACTTAACTTGGCTTCTTTCAACTTCAACGGCCCCCTTTGGAGTTGATCCACACTCTGAATCTTAAAGTGAACAGAAGGCCCCTTTCCCCCTCCGACATAAATTACCTCTACCTCTGTGTCAAAAACTGATTGAAAAACCAGCTCCTATACTGTGAGTCCCTCATGGGGACAGTAGTAACTGCTTTGTCTCCAATCTAGGGAGAGTTAGGATAAATAAAAATTAAAAAGGTTTTTCCCTAGAGTCAAACTTGGCCTTTTGGGGGTTTTCTGCTTCCTTCTAAAGGTCTGCAGTGGGCAAAAGAGCCTGCTCTGGCCACACAGAACACTGGCAGGCGGTCCTGAGAACCTCCTTTTAGCCTTCTCTTTCCCCCAGCCGGGAGTGCTAACATCCTCCCATCCAAGGAATTCTGCAGAGGAAGCTATGCTATCTCCCTCCTCGGTCCCATCCTGGGAAAGCTACAGTAAGGAGGCTGCTGATCAGCCCCAAATTCCCCAGTCACACTATCTAGTCTCCAACTACGCCTTTAAGTCAACACATCCTTCTCCAGACCAAGTAGCCAAAGGGGAAATACTTGGTCCAAACTTCCTCACACCAGGCTGTGGAGGGTTGATCACACAGAACAAAGTCTAAAGATGTCCTCCCAGCCCCCTGAGGCTGCACAGCCTCAGGAGCCTCATGAGGGCAATGAACCTTATGATGACATGCCCAGGACCACACAGTAAATGATCGTCAGGGCTCAGATCAGGAAGCACAGTGTTTGGACCCCAGCCCTGTTCAATCTCTCCTGAATATGCCCTTCTAGGTCTCAGCTATGTGACAAAACCCCACATGATGAGGCCCACATGTGTCCTCTCTGGCCTCGGAAAACCAGGCTGGGAAAAAGAGCCACAGCAGAACCATCGATGATTTGGCCTTGGGTAACCCCTACCATTACCCAATCTGTAAAGGTCAGGAGAACCACCCTGAAGAGTCATCCTGAACATAGGCTTTGAGTCTGAGGAAGCTCACTGACAGAGAAAGCCATGCTCACCTGCAATGCTGTACCGTCACAAGTCAGAGTTGAAGCTCACAGGTGAGACAGAAGCTCAAACTAGGTCATAGCTTATAGCCCCAGCTAATGTGGACATATGTACACACTGCTTTTTCTCCTCGCATTGTGCAAACAGTCTGGGTTCTTCCTCCAGCTTTCTCCATATCAAAAATTCCCCATCAAGCATTCCCCCTCCTAATCCAAAAGACCTCCAAAAGACACGTGTAATTCTCTGTGACCAAATGCCACAGGCGCACAATAAAGATACTTACAGCCAATCAGATCTAGAAGAACAAAGCTCTAGGCAAATTAAGCAAATCAAAAGGAGTCCTTCAGCCTGCCCTGGGCAGTTGTCAGCCCTGGGCACAGACAGATGCTGTAGAAGTTACCCAGGGCATCCAGTGAAAAACAACACATTATCCAGCCAGATGCTGAACAGGGACCCCAACACCCAGACCCCAGAGTAAATGGTCATGCAGTGATGGGTCCGAACCACAGGAACCTCCAGGACTCCAGTTGAGCCTTGTCTCTCCCTCCCCCATTTTGGGGGCTTGCCCACAGTCTGTTCAAAGTGGCAGCTGCAGAGCAAAAGTGAAACCAGGCACTTCACATAGCCTTTCCTCTGTCAAGCGTGGCTTACGGAGCCACCTCCAGAGGCCTGGGGGTGCTAGGAATTCTGATGAATGTTTTCTGAAGACCCTTCACTGCTTTCATTGAGCGGTGTCTCAGAGGTCTCCTCCAGCTCGTCGTCAGCTCCTTCCTCCTGGATAGTGAGGTGCACATCTGGGGAAGAGGACTCAGAGCTCACACTGTCCCCTTCCATTGAGCAGAGGGTGCACGACAGTGCAGGCGCCACACTTTCTTGCAGCATATTCAGCATCATGGGCACCTGTGCTGACCTCAGGCCCGACATCATGGGCAGCGGCTTCATAGCCTCCCCCCACAGCCTCTCCTCATCTTTGTACAGCAGCAGGAGGCTAGACTTCTTCTCCCGTCTCTTGGATTTCATGTAGCCCAGCATGATTCCGATCAGGAAAATGCCATAGAAGGACATCACGACCAGAATATAGAAGTATTCATTGCCATTACCACTGCTGTTACTAGGCACATGGGACTCGAGGGGGCTGCTGGAGGCTGCAGCGCTGGGGTGTGTACTGTTCAGAGGCTCCATCCTCAGCATTGAGATGCCGCTCACACAGCCGGGGTCTGGGGAGAAAGCTGCAAGTTAGACCTTCCACATGGAGCCACAGTAGAGCAGAAGCCAAGCACATGGCTCAGGAAGTTGCAATAGATCAAAAGAAGTAATTAAGAACAGGAATGAGAGAAATAGCAGATGTAAGGCATCTCATCAAACAGTTAACAGAGGTTAGCTCTGAGAGCTTGGAGCAAGTCAGAGAAAATAAGGGAGGGAATGAAAGAAGAGTGAGGAAAAACTTTCATCAGATAGAAAGATAAATGGTAGATAGATAGATGATAGATAGATAGATAGACTTTATTTGCATTTCAAAAAATAACCATGCATTAGTTCCAAACTTTAAATATTATATACCATATAGAGATTCTTAGAAAAAATAATAACTTTGAAAGGCATGCTTTAACGGGCAAGACAAGAGCAAACTTAATATTTTGTTTCAAAAGCTTCAACTTTCTTAAATTCAAAGTAAAGCTTCCTTAAAAGAAGAAAAAAAAAGCAAGAAAACTTCCCCTATTAATAGTTAAAACTATCCGTCTTGAACGTCTCGGAAAAGAAGGAGCCTCGCTAACTTACCGAAAGCTGACAGTTCGTCCCAAGTGTGGAACTCCTAAATGGCTGAATCGGAGGACGTTTTTCTTCTGTGTCTGGCTCTGCGCTCTGACAGCCCCGCTGCTGTCCTTGGGATATATAGTCAAGAAATGCATCGTCACGTGTTCCGGGAGGAAAATTTACAACAGAGGTTGACTGTGGCGGGGCGAGCAGTGAACTCGAAGCACTGCAGTTCAACTCTCTGAACTTTGCAGCTGTGGAGAGGAAAAAGGGGGAGGTAGCAGCCTCTTGCTCCTCCCGCCCCAGCTCAGAGCAAACGGCTTCTTCAGGTGGTCAAAACGATGTGCAGAGGAAAGAGCGTGCTCCGCTTGAGATGCTACCCCAAAGCCTACTCTCACTAACAAGGAGTTTATGTTTCGTTTTCCTTGCAGGAAATAACCAGTATGTCATCCATAGGTTTTCACAGGAAATCCAATCCTGTCATGAGAATGAAAGACAGTTGAATGAAATCAAGGGCAGAATTTATAGTGAAGGAATAATGGCTTCCGTTTTAAGTTCTTCCACTAATTGATAAGCCCTTCGTTATTCGATGCCTTGGACTAGTACAATAAAATTGGTGGCTAGTGAGGGACAGGACTGTTCAGCAAGCAGAGTCCTAAGAATCGTATTTTAAGTTCATTTCCTCTTAACCACTCTAAAATGCAAGGCTGGCTAGTGCAGGTTAGCCCTTTAAAAGCATGGAAGTTCTACCTGCCTCCACACCAAAGGCTGGCTAGTGCAGGTTAGCCCTTTAAAAGCATAGAAGTTTTACCTGCCTCCACACCAAAGGTTGGCTAGTGCAGGTTAGCCCTTTAAAAGCATAGAAGTTCTACCTGCCTCCACACCAAAGGCTGGCTAGTGCAGGTTAGCCCTTTAAAAGCATAGAAGTTCTACCTGCCTCCACACCAAAGGTTGGCTAGTGCAGGTTAGCCCTTTAAAAGCATAGAAGTTCTACCTGCCTCCACACCAAGCTCACAAATACATTCTTGATAGAATCTTTTAGATTCTACCCAGGGATTGGTGGACATCTGTAATACAGTAGTTGAGGGGCTGAAGCAAGGGGACCGTGAGTTCAATGTCAGTCTGGGCTACAAACATAAGCCCTGTAGGAAAACAAAAATCTTCCAGATGCTCTTTAGTGATCTGTGTGAAGTAGAAACGTACTGGTGAGAGCCATTGAGAGCTCCATCCTGCCTCTGAAGCAGCCACACGGACTGTTCACACATGGCTATGTATCTCAGGCAGGTCATGAGAGAAGCAGGCATTCTCTCAGTGAGCCCCCAAACACAGTTTAAGTTCTAAATACTGAAGTGGGCCCTATGTTTAAAAGGCTGCTGTGAGTGACATGGGAAGAGTCACCAAGGACTTGGTCACCAAGTCACTTGCTTCCTGGGATGTTTACTCTAAAAGGCTGTCATTCTAAGTCCAAGTAAACTGGCAGCAAATTGGCCTTTACCTCCAGCAGCCTCTGATCTAGGAGCTGCAGCAGGACTGGCAAGCCAACTCTAAACAAAACATCACTGTTGGGTCTACTGTCAGCAAGTTGAAGATAGGAGAGCAATGGCAACTTTCTTCTGACTGGACAAAGCACATATGGTCCATGTGCTAAAACTGTCATTGTGAGTCTGGGTCCGTGACTGAGGCAAATTCTGACGGGCATCCTGGGAAAAGAGTTGAACTAAGGGTCCGTGATCCTGGACTACTCATCTGATGCTTTGGTCTGTGGTCACGCCAAAACTCCCCAGCTGGCACTGAGGTGTTACCTGCCATTGATCCCAACACCAAAGTCATTCATGCAGTGACATCTTGCTCATATCAGTACAGTTGGGCTCACCACTCTGCCTGTTCAAAACTGAACAGCCACATGGTAGACCTGGCCTTTTCCAGCCATCCTCCACATAGATGCTGGCAAACGTCCATCCATATGTGCCTGTGGTGGCTCATCTGGAAGACTGGAGTAGGAAGGACCCATGAGAAGCATTCCTATTGGTATTTGCCATAGTATTATTGCTCATGTACCTTGGGATGGATAGTCATCACCGGGGGAGGGGAGGTTGCCAGGCACTGCAAACTGGAAAAGACAGGTAGGAATATGTGTCGCCAGGTTTAAGAAGGGGTAGCTACACAGCCAGGTGTCTGAAAGACAAGTAGAGGCTGAGTAGCTAACAAAATTAATCCCAGGCCTGAGCCTACAGCCCCAAGGCACTAAAAACAAGAACAGAACTGTCTTCTGGAACAAATCTAGAAAGGAGACCAAAGGACTAAGAAACTAGAAACAGCGAGAGTCAAGCCCAGTACAGGGATTCTCACAGGCATCAGAGAAAGAAGGACCCATGAAACCACAGACTGCCTGTTGGTGACCCTGTGACCTCTGATGCCCCCGAGCGCTGCAGGGATCTATCTCTCTAGGAAGCAATTCAAGGAAAGCATTGAGTACTGTCGTCAGGCAGAGATGATTGCTCAATTTATGTGTTTTGCTGTCATGGTTGGGTAACCTCCCCGCCCCAGCCATTACCTAAGGCTTCTGGTAGCTTCCTAGTGTACAGACATCTCTCTCCAGACTCTCCATCCCCGCTCTTCCTTGCTAACCTCCCCCACGCTGGGAATGAAACTCAAGATCTGGGCTTGCAAGCACCTAGCCTCACTCGGTCTTCTTCCCAGGACTTCTTCAGAGCCAGGTGGTAAGAACAGTGGCTCTGGGCAATGGTGTTAATGAGAGAACTGAGCGACCTTCTAGAAGGTGTGTTCTGTCTGGGCATGAGAGTCAATAATCATTCACTTTGTGCCACAGCTTCAGGAGGCAGCCATAATAAGGAAATGAACCAATATCAGAAACCCATATCCATGCTGCAGCTAACACTTCCATTTTCTTAATGGAAATGTGTCTTAATTCTGGACCAACTTCTCCCAGGTGTTTATGGATGTGCCTTATGAATCTTGTCCAAGAAACGTTTCCTTAAACCATTGTCCTCTAGAATTTCACTCAATTTTTCTAGGGTTTTCATAGTTGTTTTATAGCTGAAACCACAATCTATTTCAAGCTAATTTCATTTTATGATGGAAAGTATGAGTCAAGGTATGTGTGTGCGTTGCACATGTGTGTGTAAGTATGCTCACAACTGTGAGTGTATGTGGAAGCCAGCAATCGACACTGAGATGTCTTCTTCAATCACACACACACACACACACACACACACACACACACACACACACACACACAATCTTCTGAGACAGGGTCTTTCGGTGGACCTGGAGTTTACTGTTTTGACCAGGCTGGCTGGCCACTGAGACCAAGGCATCTGTCTGTCTCTGTCTTCTAAGCACTTGGCTTGGTGTCCCCAACATGGGTGTTGGGGGTGCAAGCTTGGGTCTTCATGCTTGTACAGAAAGGGCTTTACCCACGAGGCCACCTCCTCAGCCCACGGTCCTAATTTTTTAATGTGTGGAAGTCCAGCTGTCCAAGCAGAACTTGTTGGAAAGATTCTGCTTCCCTATTGGATTATTTTGAACTGTTGTTAACAACCACGGGGCTTGGAGAGATGGCTCAGTAGTTAGGGGTGCAGGTATTGCTCTTGCAGAGGCCCCAAGTTTGGTTTCCAGTACTCATGTCAGGAAGCTCACAACCATCTGTAACTCCGATGTGAAAGGATCTGACCCCTTCTTCGGGACTCTGTGGGTACCCACACACAGACATGCAAAAATACACATAATTTAAGAAATAAAAATAAATAAATCTTTAAAAAGTAATTATTAACTTTATATGTCCAGGTCTATTTCTCAACTCTATATTCCGCCTTTTGATGAAATCACTTTAAATTGGAGGCAGAAGCAGGCGGATCTCTGTGAGTTCAAAGCCAGCCTGGTCTACAGAGCGAGTTCCAGGACAACTAGCACTGTTACATAGAGAAAGCCTGTCTCGAAAAACCAAGAAAAAATGCCATTTTAAATAAGTGTGAGATACGCTACAGTCAATACCCAGCTGGGCTGATCCCTGGCACTCAGGAAGCAGAGGCATACGGATCTCTGTAAGTTCGAGGCCAGCCTGGTCTGTATAGTGTGTTCTAGGCTAGCTAGAGCTACATGGTAAGATGCTATCTTTAAAAAGAAAAAAAAAGAAAAGAAAAATTATTATTTACCTGGGTGTCTATTCGGTACCAAACTCACATCAACCCTGTGAAGTATTATAACCATTTCATTAAAAAGAAATTGAAAAGGCCAAAGACTAAAGCAATTTTCCCCAAGTCGGGCCATTAATGATAGATTCAGGAGTGCGTATGTGTGTGTGTGTGTGTGTGTGTGTGTGTGTGTGTGTGTGTGTGTGTATGTGCGCCTATGTGCCTGTGTGTGTACTTGTGTGTGTGTGCCTGTGTGTCTGTGTACTTTTCTGCATGCGTACATGAATGCACATATGTACTTATGCATATGGAGACTAGAGGGCCGTGTTGTGTGCCTTTCTCAACTGCTCTCCACCTTATTCTTCCAGATAACGTCTTTCCGTTAACCTTGACCTAACTGATTTAGCTAGACTGGCTAGCCATTGAGGTCCAGAGATTTTTTTTCCTATCTCAACCTCCCCAGCTCTGAAATTCTAGATGTGTGCCAAGGCATCCAGCATTTTACATGACTGCTGAGACTCGAACTCAAGTCCTTGTGCTCGGGGGCTTGAGCGGCAGGGGCTTTCCCAGTGACCCTTCTCTCCCTGTAGAATCAAGATTAGAACAGAGGTCTGTGTAACACCAACGCCTGCTTGCTTCTACTCTCCTTTGTCTCACAAAGGGAAACCAAAAAGCAATTCGGAGATAGCAGAAAACGAAAGTTTGGTATTTATCCAACTTCTCTGGGGTCTGTATAAGCCTTAAAAATATATATAGCTAGATGACCAAGTACTCAAACGTAAGTACGAACATTCCATTTCAAATTGTTTTTCCTGAAGTTCATGCTATTCTCAGATTAGAAGCTGTCCCTTCTTAGAATATTCTAGAAAGAGTATGTCGGTGAAAGAGTAGTACCCTTGCCCTATATCCATGTGACCCCAAATAGAGCCATTTCCCTTTCGCCTACATGCACAGCTTGTCTGTGGTCTCATGTTTTGACGTGGTAGGTTGTTTTCTTTCTTTCTCTTCCCTCTGGCTCATCCCGACACACACTTTCTCTAGAGCTTTGAGTCTCTGAGTACTTTCATTTCCTGGTGACGTCATTTTCACCAGATGACCCAAGAGTCCCTGGCCACACATCTCTGAAATTATGTTAACAGCTTCTGTGACTAAACAAAGTCTAGGCTGGGATAACAGCAGAACCATGAATCTCATCGGATGAAACATCAGCACAGAGGGCAGAGATCTGACCCAGCTCTTCCTCACCCAGGCTACGTGACTGGCCCCATTGCATAATTTCTGTTTTTGTTTTAGCCACCCTCAAGCATGTCAAGAGGCAAGCAT